GAAGATTGAGACACTTATGCAGCATATGGGAATCTTTATTCAGGAAACGTTTCGCCACACAGTGGCTTCATCAGTCCAATACAAAGAGGAAGGCGTAAGGAGAGGAGGAGTATGAGGTAATCAGTCCCTCAGCCTGGAGTCGATGTGTTCAGTCCATCAATCTTGTAGAATGTACAGCATAGGGCCGTAGACGTGGCTTATACACTGTAGTGAGGTGAGGTGAAGCAGGCGGAGGCGGGGTCATAGTGGTACTATCCACTAGTCGAAGTAGGTCTTTGTCCAAAGGTTGAACAAGTGTTGAAGATTTCTTTGTAACAATATCCCATGATGCTGCAGTGTCTGACAGTTGTGATGAATGGTTTGAAAAACCGACAAGTTGAAGATTGAGACACTTATGCAGCATATGGGAATCTTTATTCAGGAAACGTTTCGCCACACAGTGGCTTCATCAGTCCAATACAAAGAGGAAGGCGTAAGGAGAGGAGGAGTATGAGGTAATCAGTCCCTCAGCCTATGATTACCTCATACTCCTCCTCTCCTTACGCCTTCCTCTTTGTATTGGACTGATGAAGCCACTGTGTGGCGAAACGTTTCCTGAATAAAGATTCCCATATGCTGCATAAGTGTCTCAATCTTCAACTTGTCGGTTTTTGAAACCATTCATTAGTACATATATGTATTACTGTAACCATGAACATGTGGTATTTAATCAATAACAAACTGCGGCTAGTCGTGAATTTTCGTTCTCTTCTCACAAAGCGAGCTAGAACAACACGGGTTCGATCCCCTGGCTAGCCGGAGCTTATTGATATACGTACATACATACGTACACGTGTGCACATGTGTGTATGTGGGGGAGGCAAATAGGTAAACTTGCAATTTTGGCTTAAACAGCAATGCTCTTCTTGCTGAATAAGGCAAACTAAAATTTGTGTATGCAATAATTTCGCAAAAATCATTCTGAACCTAATGAAAAAAACTATATATCATTGTGTTTGTTTATTAAATTATTGTAAACTTATCTAAAATATATTTAGTTGGATTAGGCTAAATTATATTGCAATTGTTATAATAAGGTTAGGTATGTTTTCTAAGGTTCTTTTGGTACAAAATTATTAATTTTTACATTAACATAAATGAAAAAATATATCTTTAAACATATAAGAGAAAATTTTAGAAAGGACTTAATTTTAAATGAGTTCTTGCTATCTGACCAATTTTATCTATTCAGCACGACATATATACCACACACACACACACACACACACACACACACACACACACACACACACACACACACACTTCCCTCCCAAGTCTTTCACATCAGTTTTTCACTGTTGTGGTTAGAATTTGTTTTATACTCCAATCTAGCTTATACTATTTCCTCAACTTTTCACAGTGGAGTACATAATTGAAATTTGTCCTCACTGAACTTCATATTTTCTGTTGCCCATTTGATAACTTGGTTTATATCCACTTGGAGATTTGCAGAGTCCTCAATGGATGACATTTGTGCAAATTCCAGTATCATCAGCAAAGGTAGATGTCAGTTATGAGGATAAAGAACAGGATGGGAGCAAACATCTGGGGTCCCAGGCTTTTCAACATCTTACCAGAAGATGTCAGAAACACTGCCTGGTTGACCAGGCGAGCACCAGACAAGCCTGGCCCATGGCCAGGCTCAGAGAGTAGATATACTCTTGAGATTCTTCAAAGGTAAAGGCAAAGGCAAGCATTGTACCTTGTGGAACAGAGCTTTTCACTGTAGCCACCTCAGATTTAACTCTATTGACTATTACTCTTTGTGTCTATTAACTAACCTACAAGTATGACATACTTACACTAGTGGATTTGTCCAATGGTGACTCCACCTCCTCCCTCCTGCTTCTACTCGCCTTACTTCAGTATATAATCCACTTCTCCAAGCATATGCTGTAGTTTTTCTCAAGACTGATGGACTGAACACATCAACTCCATGCTGAGGAATTGATTACCTCATTCTCCTCATCTTTCACTGTTTTTCTCTGTACTGGACTGAAGAAGCCACTGGCTGGCAAAACATTTCCTCAATAAAGATTTCCAAATGTTGCACAAGTGTCTCATTCAACTTTTCTAAATCATTACATCACAAAGATCTACCTACCTACTTTTCCTGTTATTCCTGTATCACACATTTTATGTGCTATTACACCATGATAGTATTTGTCCAAGGCTTTCACAAAGTCTATCTTTGTCCTCCAGTGCATCCAAGACCATGTCTTAGTGATCCAGTAGTTGTGAAAGACAGGAGCAACCTGTTCTAAGCCCATGCTGCCCTGGGTTGTGCAACTGTTGGGTATCCAAGTGGATGGCAATCTTGCTTCTTAGAACCCTTTCAAAGATTTTTATGATGAGGGATGTTAGTGCTGGCATAAGATTTTGCTTGGATTTTTAACTTCAGAGGGTTAGCCATCCAGGATAACCCAAGAAAAGCAGTGCATCATCAATGGACTGTGTTTTATTTCCATTGGGGTCCTCAATCTTATCCCCCAGGATGAAACCCACACCAGTTGACTAACACCCTGGTACCTACTTGCCAGATGAATGGGATAACAGGTGTAAGGAAACAGGCCCAATGTTTCTACCCTTGCAAGGGATCAAATCATGGACACTCAGCATGTGAAGCAAGAGTGTTACCTACCAGGCCATGGGCCACTATTGGCCTATAATTCTTTGCTATTGCTTTACTGCCATCTTTGTGGAGCAAGGTCATACTACATACATACATACATACAAACACTGTATTTGTAATGGCCATTTGTATCCATATTCCCTACTGTACAGGATTACTTGAAGTATGGTATCCACAAAGAGCCTAAATGATACAAAACATAGGATCTCCCACTGGAAATAAAGTGGTAATCACAAATAACCTACACTTGTGAGAAAAAATTCTATACAACATTTGATCCATCCTGGAGAATTATCAAGTAATAGCTACTGTGACTTGATAATGCTCCAGGATGGAAAAGAATGTCGTCTAGAGTTTCCTCTCAAGTGTGAGGTTAATTTGTTAGTTGTTTCAACCATGGTAATGACTTTTCTTCTTAATAAACATTACTTGGTTTTGTTGGATCCTACAATAACTCAATGTCACAACTATGCCTGCGCAGTACTGATTTATGTATAGAATCATCAGTTGTCACTGTTGTAAGCCTATTCTAATTATGTCAAATGCTACAATATAAATAATTTGTGTGTAAAACTTTTGTACCATTTCCGATTTGCTTTTAAGATACTGTATTAAATGTCACCCAGTGCTGTAAAACTTATCTGACCGAAATTTAACTCTTCATTCTTCTCATTGATCATGTACCATGCTCCACTTGTAGCCTATTGTCATCTACAGGAATGTCTGTTACAGTCATTAGGATTACTTAGTAAGTTTATTTAGGTATAGGTACACATAACTACAATTATCATACCTAGAGTATACCTGGAGAGGTTTTCAGGGGTCAATTCCCACACAGCCCGGTCTGTAATCAGGCCTCATGGTGGCTCAGGGCCTGATCAACCAAGCTGTTACTGTTGGCTGCACGTAAACCGACATACGAACCACAGCCTGGCTAGTCAGGTACTGACTTTAGGTGCCTGTCCAGAGCCTTCTTGAAGACAGCCAGGAGTCTATTGGTAATCCCCCTTATGTATGCTGGGAGGCAGTTGAACAGTCTTGGGGCCCCTGACACTTATTGTGTTGTCTCTTATCGTGCTAGTGGCGCCCCTGCTTTTCATTTGGGGGATGTTGTATCGCTTGCCAAGTCTTTTGCTTTCATAGTGTAAATTACCTAGGATAAGCAAAAAAATCAAAGTGACTTATTTCCATTGGGGTCCTTGTTATATCTTTAATGTCTTTACAATTACATATGTACAGTATTTATTATGCTCTTCTTTCATATTTAGCTTGTCCTAATATGCTCTGCATAACCATGGGCTGTCCATATGTACTAATAAACGTCATTAATTTTGTAAAAACTATGTATACCTTGTGGAAAATAAATTACTATCATTATTAAACATTACATTATATTACTAATAATAATAATTATCATTATTACTATTAATTTTAATATTTATTTTTCACTCGAATATGATCCCAATAATATTGTAATAAGACATACTGGTGTTGCTAACAAGATCATGTGTTAAAATAGCTAGATAAAATTGTCCCTATTTAAAATTAAATTTAGATTGTAGCTGGTACTTAGGAGACTAGGTTTATGGCTACAATATTTACACTAGACATATTATTATTATTATAATCAAAAAGAAGCGCTAAGCCACAAGGGCTATACAGCTACACTAGACATAGAAGTTTATAAGTCAACCTGTACCACCAGTGTAACAATGGCACGGATTGGTAACAGTCCTATAAGAATAAAGCTACACTTCTCTACAATGGTTACTATAACACATAATTATCATCATCTCCAAAGCACGTGTTTCACATGACTGGAAAATACAGCTGCCTCATGAATTCAATTTTTACCTCAGGAAATGGGCGGGGATGTGATCAACTTACCTCGCAAGTGGACCCGATCTCTTCGCTTTTGAGCTTAATATCTTCTCCACCACTTGAAAATTGCCATTCCGAGCAGCTTCTAGCAAGTCGGCGTCCTTACCCATCTTTGTTTATTATCTACAATACATAGCTGGGTTATTAATGAAATATATACAGTGTAATTCGAGGGAAGCATTGATCAACAGCAGCCATCACTGACAACTGCTGGTGCTGCCATCTAGGGGAAGACACCTGCACTCTCATCGTATCCTCAAAGACATCTACGTGATGACTTTACTTTCTATATTCTCATATTTAAGGCCACTTCCCTACTCGCATAGCTAGTTATAAATTTATTTAAATTTTTTTTAACATCTATTAAGTTAAAATTATAGTAATTTGAATTTATTTGATACGTTTAGATGAGGCCAAGTTATCTCAGAAGGTATTGTAAAGCGACCTCTATAGTGTTGTCCAATCAGCTGATTATGGATGTAAACAGACGCAGCAGCAGACAAGATACCAGGAAATATTGGCTGGTCGCCTTGTTCGCCACATTGGCCATGTAGTTATGAGGCACCCAAGGAAGACTTTTAGTAATTTGATTTATGTGTGTGTAGTGTGTTGTGTGGTTAGCGTGACTCCCAGTAAGGATGTGACAGTACTGAGGACAGGTGGAGACAGTACTGGATACCACCATGATACACTCTGTCATCATAATGATGGTAAGATATGTATGAAGCAGTGCTCTACTTTTAGGTCTTTTGAGGCATTTTTGCATGTTTTTTTTTCTTGTTGAAGTATAAAAACTAAGGCAAGTATTGCTCAGTTTAATGTTATGAAATTTTTGTCCATGTACCTGTGTTAATTGACAAAGAAAACTTGCTTCAGATTTTTAGCCCTAGAGAATTATTACTCTTGGATAACCTGTGAGAATCATTAATCTGTACAAAAATATATGATTGAACACTAAAATATGCCTATTGCAGTTGTAAATTAATAGCTGAAATAACATTAATTCTACTAGAATGTAATTAGTATAGCTCTTTTTGCCTTCTGAATATGATTAACGTACATCATTATTTTCTGTAATTAATCAATAAATCCTTTGATTCTCAGTGGTAGCACATTTGGTTTGTAGCAAGATGACCAAGGTTCAGTCCTCGGTGAGAGAAAACATAAGGGCAAGCCATCCACACTTACTTCTGTTCACTTAGCATTAAATGAACAGAATCCCCAATAAAAATAAGCTACACTACTCTAGGGTTAAAAATCTGAAGCTTTATTCTCTCTGCAGTATATATGTGTGTATTCCCTATGTACAGTATTGAATATTTATTCATATTTTCTTGTATATTTATAATTAGTTTTACTTTTATATCAGTCTCATCTTTTGAGAGAAAGCTGTGGGGAGGGGAAGTGAGGCTGGAGAGAAGGGGAAAAAGGAAAAGAGGGTGTAAAGAAGTAGGAGGGGAGGGAAAGAAAGGTGAGAATAGGTAAAGGAAGAATGAATGGGAAGATGGTGAGAAGTCTTAGAGAATGAATGTCACGAAATTTATATTTGTACTACTGTTAATAATCTCCATGATATAATAAGTTATAATGGGCTTATTACATGGAAGTAGAATATTTTCCTAATAAGCTGTATCTTCAGATTTGCTTAAGTTATTTTTAGATCAAACTTGAAATATGAGGCAGTGGCATGTATAATTGGATAGTTGGGGGAAAAAAATTTGAATAGTGAAAATTTTGTATATGTACTGTATTTAACTTTGCTGTAGTTGAAACCTTCCGGCATTCATTTTATACATGACACTATCCCTCATATTTTTTTTGCCTAAATGGCTATAATGAAAAAACTGCAATATATAATTTTGTGGGACTAATTTCAAGTGACACTTGTCATAACATAACATATCATAACTTATCCAAAACTTGCACACATACTGGATATGTAAAAGAGAAAGAAGTTTGTATTTTTAAAATGGTCATGAAAAGCTTACATTAAAAACTGATTGCTTTCTACAAAAAAAAAACTGATAAATATGAACTAAATCATAATAGTAATTGAATATTTATTTGAAAGTTTGTAATCTCTATATGTACACTGTATTGTATACAAAAAAAATTAAATATTAAATAAATGCATAAAAATCAGTTTCAAATGTTTTATCATGTGTATCATTTGTTTACTTTTAGGTAAGCTAGATGTTAAGGAAAAGGAGTACTCCATGAAAAATGTCACCTATGAGATCTTCGGCATCGGCCATCATACTAGCATTGCTGTCAGCATCACAGATATTGATGAAGAGAACATCGGTTTCCTTATAGTCCAGGCTCATTCTCAGAATCGATATCTCATCCTTGGTCATGAACTGTAAGTATCAGTGAAAATGGAAGTTAAAGAAAGTAAAGTCACAATACCATGGCTGGAGCAATACTTGAATAACCCACAGTTAGGAGACTGAAACTTATGGCTATATATATGTCTCACTTGGAATATTAAGAAATTACAATGAAGTGAGAAGGGAAGAAGCCCACAATATATATGTGAGAGTGGGCAGTAGAAGGGAGTGGCAGATCAGGTGGTAGAAGTAGCAGTACATTGCAGTAGCAGTGGAGGTAGTATTAGTACAATTGGGACCTGTAGTGTGCAGGATTAGTGAGTTTGCTGGATTACAGAGTGGTTAGGTTAGAATACACTTAATTAACCTATCAGTAGAGACTTTTGCTACATCTTCCTCCTTTTCATCACTGCTTTCTCCTCCACTGGCTTGCTGCTGTGGATTTACAACCATCTGCACAATTACTGAGTCAGTATAATGATGAAATTTTAAATTATGCTAGCTGAAATTAGTGCTGGATTACTGATGGAACAGGATAACTGATTGCTGGATTAGTGATGGCCGACCTGTAGTGCAGTAGTGGTGGTAGTATTAGAAGTGCAGTGGTGGTGGTGGTGGTAGTATTAGTAGTGCAGTGGTGGTGGTGGTGGTGGTGGTAGTATTAGTAGTGCAGTGGTGGTGGTGGTAGTACAGTGGACCCTCGACCAGCGATATTAATCCGTTCCTGAGAGCTCATCGTTAATCAAAATTATTGTTAGTCGAGTTAATTTTCCCCATAAGAAATAATGGAAATCAAATTAATCCATGCAAGACGCCCAAAAGTATTGAAAAAAAAAAATTTTACCACATGAAATATTAATTTTAATACACACAAACTGAAGAAGACATGCACAGTTACATGACACTTACCTTTATTGAAGATATGGTGATGATTGATAGGATGGGAGGAGGGGAGAGTGTTGATGGTGTTAGTGTTTAGAAGGGGAATCCCCTTCCATTAGGACTTGAGGTGGCAAGTCCTTTTTCGGGGTTACTTCCCTTCTTCTTTTAATGCCACTAGGACCAGCTTGAGAGTCACTGGACCTCTGTCGCACAACATATCTGTCCATAGAGGCCTGTACCTCCCGTTCCTTTATGACATTCCTAAAGTGTTTCACAACATTGTCAGTGTCACAATTAAACACTTGTTCAGGTTTCGCTTCTTCACTGTCTGTGTACTCCTTGAATTCCTGCACATATTTTTCAGCTGCTTTTTGGTCCAAACTGGCAGCCTCACCATGCCTTATCACACTATGTCTACCACTACGATTCTTAAATCTCTCAAACCAACCTTTGCTGACCTTAAATTCACTTACATCACCACTAGTTGCTGGCATTTTTCTAATTAAATCCTTATGCAACTTCCTAGCCTTTTCACATATGATCGCTTGAGAGATGCTATATCCTGCTATCTGTTTTTTGTTTATCCACACCAATAACAGTCTCTCAACATCTTCTATTACTTGTGATCTCAGTTTCGAAAACATAGTTGCACCTTTGGCAAGAACAGCTTCCTTGATTGCCGTTTTCTTGGCCACAATAGTAGCAATGGTTGATTGGGGTTTTGTGTACAACCTGGCCAGCTCGGAGACACGCACTCCACTTTCATACTTAGCAATGATCTCTTTCTCATATCCATTGTAATTCTCACCCTTTTTGCTCTAGGGTTGGCACTAGAAGCTTTCTTGGGGCCCATGGTGACTTATTTTGCAGGTGCAATCACTAAAAAGGCTGTGATAATATGAAATGTTCCGATTGTATGCTTGGAAGCGACCGCAGTGGCTGGCTGGCTTGTAAACACTGGCCAGAAGTGGACGCGTCTCAGACGGAACGAATAGTGTTGGTCGAGTTTTTTAGCGCTAGTCGAGGCAAAATTTTTGCGTTAAAATGTATCGCTAGTCGGATTTATCGTTAATCGATGCCATTGTTGGTCAAGGGTCCACTGTATTAGTAGTGCAGTAGTGGTGGTGGTAGTATAAGTAGTGCAGTAGTGGTGGTAGTATTAGTAGTGCAGTGGTGGTGGTGGTAGTATTACTAGTGCAGTGGTGGTGGTGGTAGTATTAGTAATGCAGTAGGGGTGGTGGTAGTATTAGTAAGGTAATAGGGGTGGTGGTACTATTAGTAAGGTAGTAGGGGTGGTGGTACTATTAGTAAGATAGTAGGGGTGGTGGTACTGTTAGTAAGGTAGTAGGGGTGGTGGTACTATTAGTAAGGTAGTAGGGGTGGTGGTACTATTAGTAAAGTAGTAGGGGTGGTGGTACTATTAGTAAGGTAGTAGGGGTGGTGGTACTATTAGTAAAGTAGTAGGGGTGGTGGTACTATTAGTAAGGTAGTAGGGGTGGTGGTACTGTTAGTAAGGTAGTAAGGGTGGTGGCACTATTAGTAAGTTAGTAGAGGTGGTGGTACTATTAGTAAGGTAGTAGGGGTGGTGGTACTATTAGTAAGGTAGTAGTGGTGGTGGTACTGTGTATTAGTAGTGTAGTAATGGTGGTGTGGTGCTGGTGGTACTGTTAGTAGTAGTGCAGTAGTGGTAGTGGTACTATTGGTAGTAGCACAGTAGTGGTAGTGGTACTATTGGTAGTAGTGCAGTAGTGGTGGTGATACTATTGGTAGTGGTGCAATAGTAGTGCTGGTACTATTGGTAGTGGTGGTGGTGGTGGTACTATTGGTAGTGGTGCAGTAGTGGTGGTGGTACTATTGGTAGTGGTGCAATAGTAGTGGTGGTACTATTGGTAGTGATGGTGGTACTATTGGTAGTGATGGTGGTGGTACTGTTGGTAGTAGTGCAGTAGTGGTGGTGGTACTATTGGTAGTGGTGCAGTAGTGGTGGTGGTACTATTGGTAGTGGTGGTGGTACTGTTGGTAGTAGTGCAGTAGTGGTGATGGTGGTACTATTGGTAGTGGTGCAGTAGCGGTGGTGGTACTATTGGTAGTGGTGCAGTAGTAGTGGTGGTACTATTGGTAGTGGTGGGGGTAGTACTATTGGTAGTGGTGCAATAGTAGTGGTGGTACTATTGGTAGTGATGGTGGTGGTACTGTTGGTAGTGCAGTAGTGGTGGTGGTACTATTGGAAGTGGTGGTGGTACTGTTGGTATATGCGTAGTGGTGTGTACTATTGGTAGTAGTGCAGTAGTAGTGGTGGTACTATTGGTAGTGGTGCAGTAGTGGTGGTGGTACTATTGGTAGTGGTGCAGTAGTGGTGGTGGTACTATTGGTAGTGGTGGTGGTACTGTTGGTAGTAGTGCAGTAGTGGTGATGGTGGTACTATTGGTAGTGGTGCAGTAGTGGTGGTGGTACTATTGGTAGTGGTGCAGTAGTAGTGGTGGTACTATTGGTAGTGGTGGTGGTGGTACTGTTGGTAGTAGTGGAGTAGTGGTGATGGTGGTACTATTGGTAGTGGTACAGTAGTGGTGGTGGTACTATTGGTAGTGGTGCAGTAGTGGTGGTGCTATTGGTAGTGGTACAGTAGTGGTGGTGATACTGTTGGTAGTAGTGCAGTAGTGGTGGTGGTGGTGGTACTATTGGTAGTGGTGCAGTAGTGGTGGTGGTACATTGGTAGGGTACGTAGTGGTGGTGATAGTTGGTAGAGTGCGTAGTGGTGGTGGTGGTACTATTGGTAGTGGTGCAGTAGTGGTGGTGGTACTATTGGTAGTGGTACAGTAGTGGTAGTGATACTGTTGGTAGTAGTGCAGTAGTGGTGGTGGTGGTACTATTGGTAGTGGTGCAGTAGTGGTGGTGGTGGTGGTACTATTGGTAGTGGTGCAGTAGTGGTGGTGGTACTATTAGTAAGGTAGTAGTGGTGCTGGTAGTACAGTTAGTAAGGTAGTAGTGGTGCTGGTACTATTAGTAAGGTAGTAGTGGTGCTGGTACTATTAGTAAGGTAGTAGTGGTAGAGATAGAAATAAGAAGGTAGTAGTGGAAAACTGGGAAAAAATAATGGCAGAGTGTATTAGTGAAGAAATAGTAGTACAGGTTGACCATCACTAATCGAACATTTCCGCTACTTTGAGCTCAATTTCAAGGTACTTTCCTTCCTGAAACCAAAAAAAACTGAGAATACAACCATAAAAACCTTATGAAAATATACTGCAAAGTAGGAAAAAACAGCCATAACAAGTTAACCTTATGAAAATATACTGCTAAGTAGGAAAAAAAATGTAATGGCTTGTCTGTTTGCAAGTGACACCAACAACGTTTGTACAGCAAGTAGCAGCAGGTTGGTGAGGCAACCCGGGAAATTTGAAATTATGCTAGCCGAAATTATTGCTGGATTAGTGATTGAACCAGAGTAATGATTGCCAGATCAAGAAGAGTTACTAGCCCATGGGTGTAGGACAGAATTCCCAGTGGAATAAAACCTCCATAGGACATAACCCACCTAGGTAGAAGACAGAAAAGGCATTGAAAATATAGGTACAGTGAAGAGGTAAGAAGAGAAAAAGACAAAGTTAGGTAAAGTCAAATGATCTTAACTTTAAAGCGCTCATGACTTGACCTAACTTTTATCTCCTTCTCTCCCTACCTCTTCATCTTTCCTATATTTTTATTGCTTTTCATGTCTTCTGCCTAGGTGGGTTTTGTCCTATGAGGGTTTTGTCTCGCATGTGATTTTGTCCTATGCCTGTGGGCAAGTAGTTCTTCCACAATGCTCCTCTGTTAATATGAACTTATGGCCTTCCTACTAGTACTAGTGCTGATAGTACTGCTACTAATGCTGCTAGTACTAATACTACACTGTCATATTTACCCATTTTCTGCTGCTGCCACTGCCACCTGTACTATACTATTACATAACTGCCCTCTTCCCCTTGTACTGCTCCCTTTCCTTTCCCCTTTCATATTCTGACCCTCTTTCTTGCTCACCTTAGTGTGACTTGTTAATGGTCCAAGTCAGACCGAAATGTTGTCATAAGTTTCAGTCTGCTAAGTGTGGATTATTTGTGTAATGAAAGCTAGAGTTTATTCTATGCAATCGAACTTACTGATATACACT